TTTGACCGAAAACCATTTTCCATAGGTTTTGTGCGGGGTCCTTTATATCAATTTGCGCTTGTGACGTTTGCAATCCGCAATGCAAACGTGTAATCTGAATTTGAAATTAATTGGCGAGACAGAAAAGATTTTCGTAGACAAAATAATATAAAAATTTTATAGACTGCATCAATCAAAATGGACGCATATTATATGTGTAATAAACATTAAATCATGTATCTTTTCGCCTAGCGTAAACTCGCAGATAACATAGAACAATTTCATCGATAAATTCAATAAAGTTATTATAAAGTAATAAAGTTATTATTACAATAAATAATTACTACTGCGTTCCGATATTCATTGCCAGTATTGAAGATCTATAGTTTGTGTCGTGTATACGTATAGAGTTTTAATACTGGCAGTGAATATTGGAACGTATGCGAGTTCACATTAGAGAAAAAGATATATTACTACACCAAGAAAATTTTATAGTGAAATGTGTTACAAATTTAGAGATTCAGTCAAACCATATTCTATTACTTCAATTGCCAGAAAAGTTGGAAAAACCATGTACCTTACAAGAATTAATAGAATACAATTTTACAAGTTAAAAAAATAGTAAAAACTATGTATTCATTATGGAGAAAACTTCGTATAATTGAGAAAAACGAGATAATAATAAACGAGATAATAACAAAAAATATCTTATATATATTAAATTATATATTAATTATATATTAAATTATAAATATTAAATTATATATTTAGATATATTTAGAATATATATATTATTAAATATATATTATTATTATTTAATATATTTAGAATATATTAATAAAATTATAGTTATTTAAAACTGCTAATAAAACAAAACGCTTAAAATCACAAATTTAAAAATTAAAGGTATATTTACGTCAAAGATACGTATACACACAGATATATTATATATAATATTGTTAGTGTAATTTTTCACAATGATAAAAGTATAACTAATGAACATTATACAAACGCTGTGCGTAGTAAACACATAAAATGGATTTCAATTAATGATTCCACAATAAAAAAAAATGCAGTTGGTGACGAAACTCCAAAGATGCAAACATTTTCTTTGCTGAAAAAGTAATGTAATAAGATTTGTATCTAAATAATCTAGACAAAAAGCAGTGAAATTGTAACAAATAGTCTTTACAAAAAAAAAAACGTCGAGTACGTATCAAAACAAAAACTACAAAACGAATAGTGCATGTTAATTTAATCAAAGTGTAGATGTTTTAAATTAGTTATAATAAAAAAAGAAATAAGATCAATATAATGAACCAAGTACATATATGTAAGTACTTATTACACAAATAATTATGTAATAAGCAGGGTTGGAAAGTAACGAGTTACTTGTAACGACGTTACTATTTCGTTACTTTTTTTTGTAACAATTTGGTAACGCCGTTACTTTTTTATATCAGTAACGAAAAAGTAACGGCGTTACATTTTCTTTAGTAACGAGTAACGAAATTCATCGTTACTTGTATCGTTACTGTTTTAATTATAGTGACTTTTGTACACAGAACGCGGCAACACTTGCCACGCGACGAAAGTTTGCACACGATAAACAATTAATATGCTTTTCGTAAAGCCCATTCTACAATAAGCAATAAATCTTAAGTCATAACAAAATTGACCAATCATAGTCGACTATTAGAAGAATAATCCACTGTAATTGGTCAATTTTATTGCAACTTAAAACTTATTGCTTATTGTAGAAAGCCTCTAAAGCGTGGTCTAATGAGAACTTAAGCCTTAAAATTTAAGCTTTAAACTCTAAGCCGTAAGAAATTGATCAGACACAGTCAATTATTTTTCTTATAATTGACTGTGATTGGTCAACTTCTTACGGCTTAGGACTTAAAGCTTAAATTTTATGTCTTAAGTTCTCATTGTAGACCACGCTTAACCCTTTGCGACATAGATTTCTCTATCAAATTAATTTCACAGATAAATGTACTTTAGGAGTTTTTGGTAATCGCTGATTACGAATCCGAAGCCAGATTTTCAAAATTTAAAATAGCGGATCCAATATGGCGGACGAATTTTAGAAAATTACAGTATTTATATGAAACCTAGTATTTAGTGTTTTTTGGTTCGCTGATTATGAATCTGATTTCAGATTGTCAAAATTCAAAATGACGAATCCAAAATGGTGAACAAACATGTTAAAAAGTAGATAAAGTATCATGAAAATCATTACTCGATAGTTTTTAGGATCGTTAATTACGAATCAAATATCAAATTTTCAAAATTCAAAATATTTGATCCAATATAGAAGACCAAGAAATAAAAGAATGTATTTTAGGTCTTCAAAATTAGTTGGCGGAGATCTTTTTGGCAGCTGATTACGAATCTAAAATCAAGAGTAAATTTTTTGATCCAATGTAGTATGCCAAACATGTAAAAAAATGAGTCTTTTCAAAAGGTAGAAAATATTCTCTCGCTAAAATCTCGTTTTAGCGTTACCCAGAGCTAACTAATTTTGAAAATTTGATCAGCGACCCAAAAAACACTAGATACTAGGTTTCATACAAATACTATAATTTTCTAAAATTTGCCCGCCATATTGGATCCGCCATTTTAAATTTTGAAAATCTGATTCCGGATTCGTAATTAGTGACCCAAGAAACCCTTAAATACCAAGTTTCATAGAAATCTAATAATTTTTTAAAAATTCGTCCGTTATATTAAATCCGCCATTTTGAATTTTGAAAATCTGACTCCGGATTCGTAATCAGCGACCCCAAAAACCTCTTAGACCTTATTTTCAGCTTATTAATTATTGTTGGTTAGTCACAATTACATTTATTGGATAAAAAAGCAGTATTTCCCTTATAAAAATATCATACTAAGAATCATTGATAATTACTTATTATCCAGTATTTTTAATACTGAAAATAAGTAATTATCAATGATTCTTAGTATGATATTTCTATAAGGGTTTTGTAGTTTGTTTATTTATAAAATACATTTTCTCAACAATAAGAATGTTTTTAAAATTTTTTAATGACAACTGATGTTCTACATAACTGATAATGTGCTTTTTATTGTACAGATGTGTTGAAAACTATGTAAAAAACTAAATAAAAAACTATGTAAAAAACTAAGGGCAAAAAAGTGTTCAGTATACGGTACACTATGCCGGAAAGGGTTAAGAGACGCCGCACACGAATTGATATAACAGTAACATACCGTAAGAATTGACCAATCACTTTGAGTATCGTCGAACCGTAACGTCGCCATTTGTGAATACTCGATTGTAATTGGTCAATTTTACGGTACGTTTTACGTTACTGTTATGTCAATTCGTGTGCGGCGCCCCTTAACCCTTAGGAATCTGATCTCAGATTGTCGAAATTCAAAATGGCTCGCAATCGCAAGATCGCAAGGAAATTGACCAATCATAATTGATTATTCTTCGATCGCAAGAAAAACAATCGACTATGATTAGTCAATTTCTTTGCGACTAATGTAGAATAAGTTTTATGTCGTTATACAAGAATGTGTGCTTTCCGCTTAAATATCTTATATTTTATCTTTATATATGTATAATTTATGTACTATCTCTCTTATTATTCGTTTTATAAGCCGATTTTAACTTTTTTTTTTACAAAAGTAACGGAAAGTAACGATTTTTTATCGTTACTTTTCAAATAACGGTAACGCGTTACTTTTTAGAATCAATAACGAGTAACGGTAACGAGTTACTTTTTACCGCAAGTAACGGTAACGGTAACGCGTTACTTTTAAAAAGTAACGTTCCCAACCCTGGTAATAAGTATCAATAATATTAATAATTGAATGCTGAAACATCCAAGTATCAAATTCAGGAAAACTTAACATCGAAGATCAAAAACTCGGCATGTCTCATTTAATACATCATTCTTTAATATAAATATTTATAATACTACTAATAATTTTATATACATTATTTTAAAAAAATTTATATATATATATATATTTATTTATTATATATTATATATTATTATTATATATTATATATTATATATTATTTATTATATATATATATATATATATATATATTTATATATATATTCACTATAGGGAAATCTATATTAATGTTTCATGAATTCAAGACTGTGTGTCGCCGTATATAGGAATGACTTTTCTATATGAATATATTTATAAATTTATTTATGAATTTATTAATTGGGGCATGCCGAGTCTTTGATCCTCGATGTTAAGTTTTTCTTAATTTGATACTTGGATGTTTCAGCGTTCACTTATCACATAATTATTTGTGTAATAAGTACTTACATATACGTACTTGGTTTATTATATTGATCTTACTTCTTTTTTTATTATAACTAATTTAAAATATCTACACTTTGATTAAGTTAACATGTACTTTTTGTTTTAATACTCGGCGTTTTTTTTTATACAATATTTTTATACAAAAAAGTATAATTTTTTAAAATAAATATTATTTTTGTAATTGAAAAAATTTAGATTCGATTTTTTTCAAAATTAATTTTTTTTTTATAAAACCTCAGTTATAATTAATGACACAGGTGTATCTTTGACATTTTGATCTTTTAATTAAAAGAAATATGTTATAAAATATCTACTTCTCGAGGAAATATTAATAAACGAAAGCTAGGTACATTACACTCAATGTGATAAATCGGAACTTGTAAAAAGTTTGATGTTCTTAAGTTAACTTTATGTCGACATACTAGTTATAAATAAATTAAATATGATTGCAAAATTCCGTCACAATAGTAATGTCGAGAAACTAAAAATATTTTGTATTTACGTTTCAGTCTCGAATATCAGTTAAACGATTCGATAATTCGTCGATAACGTGTAACGGCCTCTCGAGCAACAACGGGATGAGGGATGTCCCACGCATTACAGATGCCACCAGAATGAACATGCGCACTTGGAGCGAGTTCGCATCTTGGCATCATTTAACTAACGATGCTCCCTACTGGTGAATCTTTCGGGGAGACTACCTCCTCGTCAATACGACGTACGAAGTTGTACGCAAATTCTTCCACTTGCTCTTTCGATCTTCAATCGCAGAGATGTAGATCATGCGAGATCATGAGGTATCTCGCGACGCATGTGTCAGAGAAAACGGAGAAGATGAATACGAGACGAGAGGAAAGAAGTTACGCTCGACAATCTAATTGAGAACGAGGAACAAGAGCGCGACGCGGGAAGAAAATCAATCCGCGAAGGACGATAATGAACGCAGCGGACGAACGCGCGGATAACGTAATCTGTACGGTAAGCTTATATTGTCTTTAGTTCTCCGCGTAAGAATATGTTGCACTTAAGCGTATTTATGTGTGCGTTTATTTTCACATCGGAAAGATAAGAGAGAACGTGGTTTATGCGCTGAAGTGTCATGTGAATATTGCTGTCCAAGCTGTTAAATATTGTTTTATGATGAAGTTTGTAAATACAGTGTTTTTATCATTAAACTAGAGAAGTTGAAGACGATGCATTTTAACTTTTATCGTACATTAATAAATAAGTGAGGAATGAAATTTGCTGATGTACGTTTTACTTTCCCTTCTTCCCTCGGAGAAGAGAATATATTATTATTGTTGTAAGAGAAAGAAAACACAATCCGATGCGTTTATTTTTTCTGACATTTCTGAAATAATTGACTTATAATACATTTTTCAATACTTTTAATACTTTAATCTTTTAATATTGATAGGGAATGAAGTAACTTCATATATTTTCTTATTCAATATTAAGATAAATTCAATATTGAATCGAGTATTTTTGCACTGTATTTATTTTTCTATATCAATGCATAAAAAATCTATAAAACAGTTTATAAATAAATTAAAAAGCTTCTGAAGCTTCTCGTTCTCAGAAAATTAATCACTTCAATTTAGAACAAAAAAGTTAATATCGAATGAAAAATGTAATCTGGAGGTTTATTTGGGTATACAATTCCAGAATTCTCTGAGCAGCGTACGACGAGGAGTGGCGAATGCGCGTGCGCAACAAAAATCTATTACCGCTCAAGATAGAAGACTAGTGCAACGTTATTTTCACTATAATCATCTCAAAACACAAGGTTTAAGCTTTAATTGAATCCCTATTAAAAGTTTCTAGCATATCAGGTTCACTCGTTACGTTGTTTAAAAAATAGCAAAAAACTTTTCGCATTTTTGAACTCAACTTTTTGATGTAATAGAAAAATTTTGCTTTCGGATTCGGATTCAGCGACCAAAAATTTCATGAAATGATACATCTCATCCATATTGTATGTTTAATATCGATTAAACTTGTGTAATTGGGATACAGGATAGTTTGACGTAGAAGATAATGTAGATTGATTCACCATATATATTGCAAGTACGGAGGAATATTTGGCACGTGCGTTATTACATTGTAAAACATTATTTTTTTTACAGACTAAATGTTTGCATCGATAATCTCTATCGGCTTTTATTGTCTTATCTCTCTTTTTTTAATTTCTTTAATTTATTTTTTTTTTTTTAATTTTTAATTTTTTTATATTCTTAAAGAGCGTGTTTATAAATGTTGTCTGATAAATATTTTATATAAAATAAAAATAAAAAAAAATTATTTGAAATAGAAGTGGAAAAAAATTATAACAGGAAAACAGGAACTCTTAATCTTAATTTTAAAATATACAAATCTATTAAATTTTCTATGTTTCTCGCGTGCAATTTGCCTTATCAACGACTATCAATTTTCACAGCCGTACTCACCTTAAGTATAACTTATGTATCCTTTACAGTTTTTGCATGTATAAAATACTTCTATGAGCTAATCCTTACACGTTACGGGATTAATTAAAATGTGATAGTAAAAAACAAAGATTCATTTGGATTTGCGAGTTAATAAACTACAAGGCTATGAAATTCATAGTTATATATAGCCCACTCCGTATATACAGGGTGTAAAAAAATTAGACCGACAAACTTTGAGGGGAAATAGAGGACATAAAAACAAACATATTTTGTTAATAATGTTTTTCTCTATGACGCTTTGTTTTAATACTACCGTGTACAAAATAGGAATTTTATAATTTTAATAAAAAACAAACATATAAGTGGAGAAATTAAATTTGTTTACGATTGAATGGCAATATTTATCGTATTTTTCTCGAGGAAGTTTTGCCAGGACTCATGGAAGACGTGCCACTTGTTACAAGAAGGCAAATGTTGTTCCAACACGATGGAGCACCTGCTCATTTTAGTGCTACTGTGCGCAATTATTTGGACCAAAGATTGAATGAGCGCTGGATAGGCCGAAGAGGTTTCTATCGCAAGGCCTCCCCGGTCATCAGATTTATCTTCGCTTAACTTTTTTTTTATGGAGGCATATAAAAATTCTCATTTATGAGACACCTATTGAAACAGAAGCAGAATTGGTAGCCCGAATTACTGCTGCAGCATATCAAGTGCTGCAGTTTCAAAATATTCCTGCAGTCTTCGAATGTGTGAGACAATCAATGTTTCGACGATGTCATCTTTGTGTTGAAGCAAATGGAGGAATTTTTGAACATTCATTGTTTTTTGAAGATTAAAATATATATGTGTAATTGAAATAAATTTAATTTTTCCATTTATATGTTTGTTTTTTATTAAAATCATAAAATTCCTATTGTACCCTGTAGTACCCTGTATTCTTTGTACCTTTTGTACCCTGTAGTATTAAAATGAAGCGTCGTAGAGAAAAACATTATTAACAAAGTATGTTTGTTTTTATGTCCTCTTTTTCCCTTCAAAGTTTGTCGGTTTAATTTTTTTACACCCTATATATACGAAATGGGCCATTTTATTCAATACACACAAAAATCTCAAAAAGGAGAAATTTTTTCAAAAAATGTTTCAGACAAAAGTTGTCGGGTTCAGAGAGGGACATCTGAAGGTGACCTTAACTTTGATCTCGGAGCTCATTCTGAAGGTTATGCAAAAGTCAACTTTTTATTTTAAATAGAAACATTAATTTTTTTTCTTACGGAATTTTATTTCTCGTGAAGAAACTAACAACTTTTGTTTGAACGATTTTTTTGTACGACCTCCATTTTCTAAGATATTTACGGAAATAACTACAAAATTATTGGTTTCAATAATTTTTTACTCGAATTCTATCAACTTTACCGAAAAATGGTCAGAGATAAAAATTATTTATTTTCTTCTCGTAGAGCTCCGCGAATTTTTTTAGAATTTTTTACTTAACTTCTTAGTACTGCATTTTCTTGAAGTACTAAAAAGTTTATAAAAAATTCTTAAAAATTCCTGGAGCTCTATAAGAAGAAAATAAACAATTTTTATTTCTTATCATTTTTCGGTAAAGTTGGAAGAATTCGAGTAAAAAATTATTAAAACCAATAATTTTGTAGATATTTCCGTAAATATTTTAGAAGATGGAGGTCGTACGAAAAATTCGTTCAAACAAAAGTTGTTAGTTTCTTTACGAGAAATAAAATTCCATAAGAAAAAATTAATATTTCTATTTAAAATGAAAAGTTGACTTTCGAATAACCTTCAGAATGAGCTCGAAGGTCAACATCAAAGTCACCTTCAGATGTGCCCCTCTGAACCCGACAACTTTTGTCTAAAAGATTTTTTGAAAAAATTTCTCGTTTTTTTAAATTTTGCGTATATTGAATAAAATGACCTACCCTGTATATATATGGGTCATTCCACGTCAGAACGGCCACCCCCCTATCCAAAATTGTACTGCACTAAATGTAATTTGCGATATGCCAAAATTTAGCTTAAAGCTTATAGTTTTCGATGCCGTCTGGCGATTTTAAAAAATTTGAAATAATAGCTTTCATTTCGTCGGTCAAATAGAAAATGGCAAGTTTTTCTTTATTATTTCTTTCTTCAAATCTCTGCTATTTCTTACACATGAATTACAAAAGTCATTTTCAATGTAATTGAAAATGCCCGCTGAGTTCGAATGTGAAGTCAAAAAACCAATATTATGTTTTTACAAATAAATATTAAATTTTTATTGGTATTTACTTCTAAAAGATGAAAATAATACTGTTTTTAATAATGCTTCTTTTTCTTATTAATAAGACATTCCTAAGCTATAATATTAACCAGCTATCTTATTCCGTACGTATAACTATAATATTTGTTAAAATTATTTTTTAATGATTTGTTATGAAAAAACTTTTTGCGTTCAAACAGAGTTAAGGGGTAAAACCATTGTAGAAACTAAGTCACTGTAGAAAAATAAGCCTGATTTTTAACGACATTTTTAGAGGTGAGAAATAAATAAAATGAAAAATCTCTTTTAAGGACTTTATTCTACAAATGTTAAAGTATGTAAAATGATTTAAAAAAAATTTTTTTTATCCAAAATGGCGCGTGTACAGCCTCTCGTACGCAGCCATTTTTTCGTTGCGGCTCTTCGCGGTTAACAGCAGATCTCTTGAACAGTTACACCTAAAACAAAAAACCAAAAATTTTCAGAAACTAGATAAAATTTTCTTTGGAAGTACGTAGGAAAATGAAAAAATATGATGATTTGTAAAAATGGTGGGGCTATAAAGAAAGAATTTCATTTTTTGACTAAAAATTCCGCACAAATTTGTTTATAATCAAAAAAGTTTTGAAGTAATCGTAAAATCCCTACGTATTTCTCTAGAGAATCTATTTAAGAAGATACCCTTAAAATTTCAATTCAATCGGATAAAAATTGTTTTAGTTATGCTGCTAGCCGATTTGAAAAACGTGAATTCGAGAAAAGCGCATTTAAAGTTTTCAGTAACAATTTTTTTCTATTTAATACGAGAAATTTGTAATGTACCTTCAATCTGCTCCATACAATTGTCCTTCCAGGTCCAAATTAGTCTCCTCTTTTTTTTCTCTGGTTGATTTAAAAGTCCTCCGAGCATCTTTTGCGACATCAAACGCTTTGCGTTTTGCAAATTTGACGCGGCGCGTATCAGCTTGTACACAGAAGTTATTACAAATTGGGCCCACATCAACTCCTAATACTTGCATTATTAATTATTAATATTATTAATTAATGATAATAATATTTATCACGAATTCCAAATATAATACTGAGTATTACAAAGCGTGATTCCTTGAACCACAACATCAGATGTTCCTCGCATTATGATAGAAAACCTGTATCAAAATTTAGCGAAAATTCAAAAATAAGTGTAGCTGACAACCAAATTGGTCTCAGCGTACTCACGAAGAGCGTAGTGCAAAATGGAGGAAAATTTCCGTCGCGTCTAAAACAGCATATGTCCGACTCCTAAATCG